AGTACACTGTCCCTGGCTGCTATGAAAACAGAAAATGAATTTTGCCAGACTAGACAATACCAGCTTCTTAAAGTGCAATGAATGAATTACCAGATACATGAAATGCAAAAAAGTTATCGGCTTTTTTTTGTAATTTACCTCTGAAATTCAGAACTCGAAAATGAGCAAGTGGAGCTAACACGTTTTTGGAAAGGCGCACATCTCGAGTAATGTCAAGCTACATACTCTATAAAACATATTATTTGAACAATACCCAAAATATACAAAGTCTTTTTTAAACAGCCAGTATAACTAGTGAGGAAACCCGGGGAAATTCTTTTTCTTTAAAATTCTAACCCTATGCCAAATGCGAAACTTAATAGATTTCGTAGTTGCGTTCCTTAATATGTAATACCAACAAACCAACAACGGCTAGCAGATGTGCTTTGTACATCGGCTAAAAATAGTAAAAGCAACAAATTTTAAATGGATACATTTCAAATTTAGCATCGAAAATATGTCTATGTACAAAGAAAGAAACCACTTATGTGTTTATTTGAGGGACAGGATGTATTTGTACATGGAGGGACCGACAGTGAAAAACTGCTTATGTATGAGTCCATTCCAGTTTTGTGCTCATCTTCTGTCGATCATGATGGATCAATCGTCAGACCTGAAAAAGTTGATTTTGATTGAATACGGTGATTTGCCTCCGCATTTAATGAAATTCACATGCCAGAAGCACCGAAATAACTTACATATCCGAAAAGGTGTAGATAGGGTTAACATACCGGGACCTTAGCTAGCAAAAATGGGTATCATTGGCAGTGTAATGACTAGTTGCTGGAAACAGCTGGATAGGTTTTTCTAGCTTAGTTGATCATGACATTTTTGCCTAATAGACTGGCTGTGGGCACAGCTGGGCAAGTTTTATCTTTCTTGGCTGATCATGACATTTTGCCTATTCTAGCATTTCTTGTCTACAGTGCTGATCGATAGAATGCACAGGAACAAAAATTACGATAAGATTAATAATACATAAAATCTGGAATTTCGCCAGTTCCTGCAACCATAGACTTAATTATAAACGCTTGTTTATTTGTTTCGTGATGTTTCTTTTAAATCAGGTGCTGTTGTTGAGGGGTGGTGATGTCACCATTTGTGTCCTTTTTATAGTTCATACCACGTTCATGTTGTAGTTTATCTTTTGACGATGTTAATATCGTCTGTTTATCAATTGCTTGTACCATATTCTTTTACCACGTTATTTTTACGACAGTGTTTATTCCCAGTCTAAAGGTACCTGGTGATGTTTTCAAGTTTTTTTTTAGCTAACTGTAGCACCTGTAAATAACGCCTTCAAATGTCACAATTGTCATTTGCGAGTGCAATCGACTGCACATTGTGACATTTACAGGTGATTTTAACACCAGTAAATGTCACAAACACAGGTAAGAGTCAAAGCAAGCAATGTGTGCAATATACTAAGTAAATGTCACAAGCGTCCGTAAATACCACAAATGATATTCAAGAAAGAGTCCGAAATACACAACGTTTTTTTGTTTGTTTGTTGGTTTTTTTTTTATTTTAAATTGCCGCCCTTCGTAGCTGTTGCTGTCCATCCATTTATTTGTTCAGATGACTTTAGGATATTCCATGGCCAAGACTAATATTGTTTTTGTCCCTCATAAATTTCGGTGATGCATTTAGTAAGTTTGTAATTAGGTAATCACTAAAGATTTCAGACTTACACGACGGTTATAAATATTATGTTGTCACTTGCACCTGTTTTTAAAATATCTTTGCAGCAGTTTTGAAAATATAGTATCAAATAAGAGTTTATAGCCCATTACTACATTAAAAAAACATTATTGTTGCTATATTTAATAAAATCTTATAAAATATATGCCATAGATGGATGGATGGATGCATGAATGGATGGACCAACTGCAAGAACGGAGATGCTACAAGGTTTTTCACAAACTGACCAATTGGTACAGTGTAGATACTTTCAGTTTTATTACAAATTGACCTAATGCCAGAGCAGATTTATAAAAGTTGTATTGCAAATTGACATATTGCCAGAGCACAGATAAAAAGTTTATTACAAACTGACCTATTAAAAGAGCAGTGATATACAAAAAAGTTTTATTATAAACTAACTTATTGCCAGAGCAGAGATAACCACGCCCTACTTAGCATCATAAACATCATGCAAAATCAATGTATTTTATGTTGCTATTTATTTAATGTGTTTATCCCTTAGTGCATACTGAATATTGCATGAAAAATGACTTGCAAATGTTTACGGTATACCAGTCTGAATATGTGTATATAGTGGCATCCTAATAGTTTTTGACTTTAGGCTTGAACGTCCGACAAGCTGCAAAGAACATGTAAATCAAGTGATGCTCACATCTTTGCCAACAATTATACTGGTCAGCGGTTCACACACACACACACACACACACACACACACACACACACACACACACACATACATACATACATACATACATACATACATACATACATACATACATACATACATACATACATACATACATACATACATACATACATACATACATACATACATACATACATACATACATACATACATACTGTGACAAATTGGCGGCGTGCAAACCACACCAACCTCTTCCACTACGGTTCGTTGCTAGGGAATGACCTCCGCGGTGTAGTTTACCCAGTGTGGATAGATTGAAAGAAGAATGCAGATCACTGAACAAGTATATTGAATGAAATAAACACGACGAGCCCCCTTTCAATGAACAAATATAAAATTTAATCAGTTTATCAACAGAATTTAAAATGAAAAGAATCAATGACATGGTTACAAAAGAAGGAAAATGGTACTAACATGTACTCCAATAAAAAAGACAATACAAATTTCTTTAAATGTAAAATTACTTTCCACGTTAATATACTATCTTCATTGCCAATGAGATGTGACCTTTGAGTGCAACGATGAGAGACTTCATCACCTTTTTATGCGGACATCAAGACTTCCGTTCGTTCCTGCTCTGCCGATCTTTGTCTAGCTGTTTTGTCTTGGACTCTTGTCCGTCGAACTCTGACTTAATAATCGTCTATGGACTTGGATTTCTTCGTAGAACTTGTTCTGGTCCTGTGATTGTTCAGGGATTTCTCATGTGAATCCAGGGAAGCTGTTTCCTTCAATAAATAAAATGTCTCGCAATAGACAATAGGTCACATTCCCAGGTATATTTATATTTTTACATTAATTCGGCTCAGAAAACAAAAGGCATAAATTCTGCCGCAGTAACTCATTTCTCCCTAACTTGTTTACATAAACGGTCAATGCTTGTCCTGACCTTAATTCGGGTCACGCTAGGGAAGGTCAATTAAATTCAACTCAGCCGTATGAACCCGTATGTAACCCCCACTCGACTGCCTACTCTACCAATCTAGCAGTGTTAAGTTACATATGGCTTAGACCCTCAGATCTAACTATTCTAAAATAGTTTACTCGACCAATTAAATATTACAAACTAGCATATTGATATACACTTAAGTGATCAATTAAATATTACAAACTAGTATATGGATATACATGTAATGTTAGGTCATACTCATTTTAAATAGAGTTAATCCATATAACTATGAAATATTAACCATCATTCCTTGAATCATTCATGAAAATTCCCAATCACTCCTATGTATTAAAGATTCAATTACATGCAATCTTGTCAACTAATCTAATGAAATTTTAATTACATTCAATCTTGCCACTTCTCCAAATGAATTGATAATTAGAAAATCAAAGAATAAAATGTCATGACTAGCATTTCATTAAAATCCTGCAAAATGAAATCATACAGACATACATCATATCAAGAATACATTTGAAATAGATCAACAAATGAAATAACATATTAAAATCGGGAAACTAAGATTGCGTACCTTTTGCCGTTTCTTTATTCGTTTCCACGAACCTCACGTAATTCATTCAACTGAGACAACTATCTGGCCCCTTACTCTATAATGAAAACGTACTTTTTACGAATTCAGAATGTAGAGTTTGCCTACTCGCTGAGACAAAACTCCCGCTTTACTGCCAAATCACGAGATAACGTCTTACACGCTCTTCCTGGAGTATCCACCACTCTTTTACAAGTAAGATTGAAGACTAAAGAATTTTCCTAAAGTAAAACCTTTAATTTCTTACAGAGTTACGCCCATAAATCCATATTAACCAATCGGAATAGACTGTTTCCTGAACCTGTTTCGTAGAATTTTTGGATTGACAAGACAACTAAACAACTAATCATGCCGTAATTAATCATTACTTTGAACAATCGTCTATAGCCAGCTCCCGCCCTTTAACCCGTCGATTTTAGGAAAGGGTCGTATGTCATTCTCTTGTACCATAGCATCTGACTCGGTCATGTTACGTCGGCTAGAACGAATTCCCTTTTGACGTTCAGAGATGAAATGAAAATAATCATCTATCTCTAGCCCTTTCTACTTTAATTAAGTTGACTTTGATACACTTCCTTTAACCAAAGCTTCTAAGAGTTTTCAAAATTCGACACATCATACATACATACATACATACATACATACATACATACATACATACATACATACATACATACATACATACATACATACATACATACATACATACATACGATAAGCTGCAAAGGACATGTAAATCACGTGATGCTCACATCTTTGCCAACAATTCTACTGGTCAGCGGTTCACACACACACGCACGCACGCACGCACACACACACACACACACACACACACACACACACATACATACATACATACATACATACATACATACATACATACATACATACATACATACATACATACATACATACATACATACATACATACATACATACATACATACATACACGAGTTACGGTCTAGATGACATTCGGCGGTACATTATTTATATTCTTCCATCCATAAGAAATGAGCTCTGTCTGATCAGGAATATTACTTCGGAGTGCAGAACGCTCCGGTGGGCTCAGTGGTTAGAGCATCCGCCTCGGATGCGAGAGGGCGCGGGTTCGAACCCTTGTCAGAGTCATATCATAAACTTATACAAATGTTACTAGCAGTTACTTCGCTTGGCGCTCATCATTAAGAGGTTAGTGCTAGGATAATGTGACTGGAATGTCTGCGGCATGATGTCCCAGTGTTTGACATCTCTTTAAACTGCCAAACTGCAGAAATCGTAGCGATATGATTCAGTTGTAAAAACTACCTTCAAAATCCAAACAATACACATATATCGGCGTGCTTTGGTATTATAGGTCTTAAAGTCTGCGATCTACCATGATTTCTGTTTTCAGGGTTTGTGACTGTAATGGTGAAAATAAAGGTGAATTTGCTGGATTGGATTCATGCGATGGTCGTCCGAGAGTGATGCGTTGTTACGTTACTGTTTTTTTTGAATGGATATGTGTAGTTTTTCAGTCTTCGTGATATTCTGAAGGGATAAAAGATGCGTGAGAAAAGTCGAATCGAGCGGAGGGTTATGATCACACTTGCATTTCTTATGTTAATTTTATAATACCGTTAAGGTGATTTCATGTTGTCAGAAATTTCAAAATTTTTGATAAAACTTCAGACTCCTGTGTTTACACAAAGTAACTAACTCTCGCGAATCTCAATATGACCCCCTACGTGACTCCGTTATAATATTATTTTTTCCATACTATATGCACATTTAGACGCTCATAACTTACACCTTCGTAAATAAAATAAGACATTCCACACATTTCCTCCATGTAATATTTAAGCACCTTACTGTTTTTGAATGGCAACTTTTAGGCAAAGTTTGTTAGGTCACTTCTTATTTTGCACACTGTAACATAGTCTGGTCCCCTGCTTAGTATGCTTCCTGCGTTGCACTCTGTTAGTATAGCGGAATGCAACGCAGGGAGCATACTAAGCAGGGGACCAGACTAACTATAACAAAAACTATCAACTTCTACAGTTCCGGTCTACTTCAGAGCGAATGCGACTATTGGGCATAATGCATACGAGCAACTAATACCCAGAAATAAGAACAATTAAAACTCAGAATAATATCATTTTCATTCAGGATAATTTAGTTACTATAATTTCGTATATGATTTCAACTAATCTGTTTATTTACTATATTTTAGGTTGTATTATAGAGGTCACGGGACTCAAACATTTGCATAAAAGAAGAGACATCCTAAATACGATATCTTATGAGAAGAGTGAAATTCGAGATAATTTTTAGACGGAAATCGCTAAAACCCAAATGATTAGCAACACAAAAAGCATTAAAAAAACCTGGTTAATACAGGGAAGATAGCAGGAATTACGATAACAACTTAGTATGTGCTGGCAATATTCTAAAGGTAAAAATCCTACTCAACACATCCCTAGCCTGTCGTGTCAACCCTAATTTAAAAACAAAAAATGCAATTGAGCCTTATTTAAAAATATATATGCCAATGGCTTGCCCTTTAAGGAAGATTGAATATATATATATATATATATATATATATATATATATATATATATATATATATATATATATATATATATATATATATATATATATATATATATATATATATATATATATATATATATATATATATATATATATATATATATATATATATATATATATATATATATATATATATATATATATATATATATATATATATATAATAGCAGTAACTCATGTTATCTCCATAACAAATAACGTTGTGATGTGTCGAATTTTGAAAACTCTTAGAAGCTTTGTTTAAAGGAATTTTATCAAAGTCAACTTAATTAAAGTAGAAAGGGCTAGAGATAGTTAGATGATTATTTTCATTTCATCTCTGAACGTCAAAAGGGAATTCGTTCTAGCAGATGTAACATGACCGAGTCAGATGCTATGGTACAAGAGAATGACATAAGACCTTTCCCGAAAGTTGGCAGGTTTAAAGGCAGCAGCTGGCTATAGATGATAGTTCAAAGTAATGATTAATTACGGCATGATTAGTTGTTTAGTTTTCTTGTCAATCCAAACATTCTACGAACATGTTTAGGAAACAGTCTATTCCGATTGGTTAGTATGGATTTATGGGCGTAACTCTGTAAGAAATTAAAGGTTTTACTTTAGGAAAATTCTTTAGTCTTCAATCTTACTTGGAAAAGAGTGGTCAAGACTCCGGGAGATCGTGTAAGACGTTATCTCGTGATTTGGCAGTGAAGCGAGAGTTTGTCTCAGCGAGTAGGCAAACTCTACATTTTGAATTCGTAAAAAGTACGTCTTCAGTTAGGAGACAGACTATACGTGAGATTCGTGGAAACGAATAAAGAAACGGCAAAAGGAAACAGCTTTCCTGGATTTACATGAGAAATCCCTGGACAATCATAGGACCAGAACAAATTCTACGCAGAAATCTAAGTCCAGAGACGATTGTTAAGTCAGAGTTCGACGGACAAGAGTCCAAGACGAAACAGCTAGACAAAGATCGACAGAGCAGCGACGAACGGAAGTCTTGATGTCTGCATAAATTAGGTGATGAAGTCTCTCATCGTTACACTCAAAGGTCACATCTCATTGGCAATGAGGATAGCAATTTAACGTTGAAAGTAATTTTACATTTAAAGAAATTTGTATTGTCTTTTTTATTTGAGTACATGTTAGTACCATTTTTCCTTCTTTAGTAACTAAGTCATTGCTTTCTATTCATTTTAAATTCTGTTGATAAACTGATTAAATTTTATATTTGTTCATTGAAAGGGGGCTCGTCGTGTTCATTTCGTCAATATACTTGTTCAGTGATCTGCATTCTTCTTTCTATCTATCCACACTGGGTAAATCACACCGCGGAGGTCATTCTCTAGCAACGAACCGTAGTGAAAGAGGTTGGTGTGTTTTTTTTTTTTGCACGCCGCCAATTCCCCACATAAGTGGTGCCTCGTCCGGGATATTTGAACAGTGGAAAAAAGCAGATCTGAACATGTATTGAAAGAAATACAGCACAGTATCATTGATAGATTTGTATATTTTTAAAAATAAGAAGCCACGAGTGTGAATTGATTCAACACCTATTCTTATATGTTTGAAATTATGCATGATTTGTGAATTGCTAAAATGTTGCATGACATTGTAAGAAATTAAGATTCCGTACCTGAAATTGCTGAAGCGTGGTTGGTTGTCCGTATCTAAGTAACCCATAAATATTTTGCCTTAGTACTCTTGCGAGAAGAGATCATTAAGGAATTATTCCCAGGGTTATTTGCACATGTGTTGCAGACGATACGAATTTAGGGAGAATTTATAGTTTGGTACTGCCTTAAAGCCGTTTAAATTACTTGTGTAATTTTTAAGTAAGTCTGTAGGTAAAACGACTTAGAATATTCGTTGATATTCATAGGGAAGTTGTTTTCTTGAAGGCAGAAAACAGGTTAGTGATACTAATCTAGGTGAGTTAGCGACAAGACAGACAAGAATGGCAACATTACGGCAACTTGCGCGAGAATTCAAAGTTCTTGGATCCGAAGAATTAGGTTATAAAGGGACACAGTTAACGGAATTTGTAGAACGTAGACTCAAAGAGTACAAAGAACAGCAAGCAGTCGAAAAAGAGAAGGAAAGAGAAGCAGCCGAAAGAGAGAAGGAAAGATAAGCAGCCGAGAGAGAGAAGGAAAGAGAGGCCGAGAGGGAAAGAGAGGTAGCCAGACTGCAAGCTGAAAGAGAAAAAGAATTTGAGGTAGCCAGACTGCAGGCTGAAAGAGAAAAAGAACTTGAGTTAGCTAAACTGCAAGCCGAGGAAAGTAATAAAGAGAGAGAGAACATACGTTAGTCATGGAAAGACAGCATCGAAGTGGAGTCTAGGAGGGGCGAAGAACTGAACGTACAGTTAGGACCCTCGAGCAGAAGAACTGAGGATAGACGTACCGTCCAGATAACTATGCCTATGTTCAACGACAAGGAGGAAATTATTGACAACTTTTTAACCCAGTTTGAAAAGTTAGCTTTAATACATCAAATACCCAAAGAAGAGTGGGCTATTAATATTTCAGCATTTTTGCAAGGCGCTGCCAAGGAGGTTTATCATAATTTGGCACCCGCTGAAATAGATGATTATGAAGCTCTCAAGAAAGCGTTACTACGGCACTATGAGCTGACAGCTGAAAGTTTCCGTAAACTTTTCAGAGAGTCATCTAAGAAAGCCACAGAGTCTCACGCGCAATTTTTATAATCGTGTACGCGTACTTTTCGATAAGTGGATAAAAATGTCAGGAGCCGAACTTTCATACGAAGGCATACGGGAAGAAATTCTAAAGGAACATGTCCTCAGCACATACCGTAAAGACCTAATAGTATTTTTAGCTGAGCGTGATTTCGCGACCTTAGAAGATATTAGTGTAATGGCCGAGCGATATGAAGCTGCACACTCTCGTCCAACCACATGGAGTGGCAGGGATCGAACCAGCGTCCCAAAGTTTAGGAGAGGTAATGGTTTAACAGCTATCAGGCGGAATGGTCAAAATGGTGGGAAGCCAGGGGCTGACAATCTCAGCCGTGATCAGTCCCGGGGCTCAGGTAAGTCCCAAGGAATGGACAAGATAAGCTCTGGTAAGAAAGAGGAAGTTGTGTGTTATGGCTGCAACAAACCCGGCCATATTCTTAAAAACTGTAGAAGATACCGTCCCACTGTAAATGTATTGACCCCAGATACTAGTAAACAGAGTAATCTATTGGAGTGGTCCAATACAGCAACAGCTACGGTAAATGACTTAGAGTTTACTGTGTTGTACGACACCGGCTGTAGTTATCCAGCTTTGGTGGACAGGAAGTTTATTGAACATACCGATTATACAGGTGAGACTGTAGAGGTACAATTTGCAAATAAGAGTAGAGATTCTCTTCCGGTTGTTTATATCAATCTTGATTCGCCCTATGTGAAGGACGAATTCAAGCAGCGTGCTTGTCAGGGTTGTCGCATGATGATTTTTTTTAGGATGTAGGTATGTATTGCCACAACCTAATCCTATGACTTGTACACCTGTATACGTGGGGTCTGTAGAGACTAGGTCTAT